TAATTAATTGATAAAGGAAAATTCAAAGAACTTGAACTGCAATATTCCAGACATTGATTCTAAGTATGTTAAAACAGATAGCTTATAAAAAACTGATTATCACGGTATTACTTTTGTAATTCCGTTCATTTTACTTATAAACTAGCTACCAAATATTAGCATTAGCCCATAAACTGACTTCATAACTGATTTATACCGAAACTAATATTTTTATTTTGTAGAGTGTCCAAAAAATCAATATAGCCCACAGAAATAAATCAACCATATATGCAGATTGGTCCTTGAGCATGAGATTGATTATATTTTGGATGAATATTTTGGGGTTGTTTCATGAGGCAATTGTGTTTTCAGTTAAAAATTTAGTTAGCCAAAATGAGTGCAGAGAATGAATAAACCAAAATACGTCCGAAATAATATCTACCAAGCAACAAAAAGTGTATGATGAAGGACTCACCCTAACGTTGTCTAAGTCGATTTTGCACGGTAAGGGTACATGTCTTTCACAAAAAAACATTAATAAATCGTTGTGAATATTAGTGGAAGATGCTACCGCAATCAGTATGAAATAATTGTTATGATTATTTATAATGTTTTCAAACATTTTAATTAAAAGGTCTTACATTTCTTCACTCTTTATTAAAATTATTAACTTTGAAGTCTGAAAAAGTATCATGAAAGAAAAATAAGAAAATTCCTATTTTCACAAAAGTTTTCTTCAGTGAAAACTGAATCTTCAGAAAGTTCTGCCATTTCGTTAAGGGCGGTGTTTGGTGTTTTATCGGGAAGTTGCACGTCATGATTAACAACTGACGTCTTGTCTTGTCGCCTTCTTTCAATGAAATCAAACTGCTGTCGCGTGAGTTTCGTCTGATAATTACTACGTAAATATGCAAAGCGAACGCATGCAATTGGTGACGTTTGAAAAGACTTATGGGACTTAAGCCACAAAAGCGTACAAAAAGGTCCCCTGGCTCATTTAATGAATAAAAAACAAGGAAGTGATAAGCAGACTTTGGGTTTCTTTTATTTTTATTTTTTATTTGCAACACGTGACAGCATTTGAGGTGCAAGCACGCAGGCTTTTGCTTTGGTATGGGAGATTTATTTGTTGACAAGAAAGGGTGTTTCCAACCATACCAAATTAACTGCAATAGCTAAGAAATTAGTTGCAACCAATCCTTAGATGAAATTTTAAATAAAAAATATTTAACATATATAAATCTGTTAACTTTCTTGAAGCAAACAAAAAAAATTTACTTCAAAAGTCAATATACTCGTGTCCTAGTTACAAAACAAATTGGCAAAGGATAATATCGATTGAAAAGAGCAAATTGGCAACTTGCCACATGTGTAAGCCATATTTTTTTATTTATATGTAAACAAAAAATAAAAACTATATTCACAATTTTTTTTGAAAATAGGTATAAAGCATCCTTAGTGATTACAAATCAAATAATGTGCAGCGACTTGTGTCTTTTGTATTTAACTTTTGTGTCTCTGAACGTTAACGTAATCTAATCAACTGTCATGCCAGGCACCTAAAATATTCCACTCATTCCTGCAGCTGACTTGCAGTGATGCTGCAACAACGATTTAACCAACTTCTGACTAGTGAACTCAATATTTAAACATTAGCCTGCACATCATTAAATATCCAATTCAACCCAAAGGCAGTGCAGTAGCAGTGGTAGTAGTAGTGGCAGTAACTATTGCTAATGAAGAAGTCCTGTTCTGCAGTTTGTGTTTCATCAGGACTTAAGTGCTTAGAAGTATTTAAATTCTTTGTAGTCCTTTCTCTGTTACAGCCAATATATCTTTGTTAAACTGTGCACACTTTTGCAGCAAACAGTGAAGTGGCAACCGGCCAAATGTTAACAGCAAATAGAGCAGCTGCTGCGGCATAACGTTTGGAATCTGCAATCTACAACTTATATTGACACTTCACCAGGAATTGTGACGTACAAGTTCAGTGCAATACAGCGGAACAGGCAAAAATTTGAAGCCTGTTTTTGTTCATTTTGTAGCATTTTTTGACAATCACTGGCACAGAAATATTTTACAGTGGGTTCGGCTCAGTTGGCAACTCTTATGATGATGTTGCCGTTGCCGTAATTCAGGACTTGCATGCAGCATGCAAAATGAGCAATTCAGAAATTGTTCAGCATACTAGTATCTGTACTAGTATCTATTCACTTGATTCCAAGTTGCTTCAAATGCACGTACACTCATATTACTTCGCACTTTGACGATGATTTTTAATATTGAAGTCTGCAGAGAAATATCAGAGAATTAAGGTGTGAACGTGATCTGAGTTTATTTCTGTAATATGACGTTTTATTAATCTCGTGAAAGTAAAGAAAATGTGAAGTTTTTTACATAAATTTCAATGATTTCAGGTTTAATGGACTTTAATACGAAAATTATATTAAAGGATATAATTAGTATTGAAAGTTTTTCAAGAAGTCCTTTACGAATATGAAATTTAATTTTTACATTTCGTTAAATTTTTCGGGGAGTCAGAAGTCATTAATTATCAATCAATTATTCGATTTATTTTAAAAAATGATAACCTTTATATAGCAACATAATCTGTCTACATAGCTTTTGAAAATTTACTTTAGGTTAATTAGTTAATAACTAACTCATAGTAATTCATTGATTTAGTCATTTTTCATAATATCGGAGACGAAAAACGAGAGTGAAAAATAAATATACGAAAATGATGTAGATGTAGCGCAACGTTATACTTAGAATATTAGAAAATTTCAATGTCTAATTCTAATATCTTGAAATTACGAAGACAGTTTATAAAATTCGTATTTGATCTAAAATTTTTAAGAGAATATATCATTTTAATTTCAGTTATAACGTAGTATATACATTTCAATAATTGATATATTATCAGTGAACTAAGAAGATTAAAAATATTAGGACTAATAACATACATAATTGTAGGTGTTGAACTGGAAAATTAAGATTGTCGACATTTTGTGGTGGTATTAAGCAAATAGTTTTTATATGTAAATAAAATTATATGAGTTTTATGAATAGTATTTCTGATGTATTCTAATGTTGCAATATAAAAAATAAAAGCTTTATTAAATCATTTATCGCATATGGGTATGAATCAGATGTAACGAGAAATAATTAAATTTGTTGGTTTAGATTAGATTATATTTTAAGATGGGTTGGGAACTTGTCATCACGTCACTGTATCCTTTGAGGATTATTGTGACAAACCCACTTCAGTTTCATAGAAGAGCAGTTAATTACGCTATTATGTCCAAAGTCTGAATCTTGCAAGACTATCACAGTCGCACAGAATGTGTTCTGCTGTTTCCTCTTCTTTGCAAAAAGGCTGCAACTATCATCTCTAATAATACCTAAGTTCGATAAATGCTTTTTAACTTCGCAATGTCCAGTGAGAAACCTTGTGACAAGACGGATAGTTCCGGCTTTTGAGTGATACGGTATGAATTCTTTAGCTTGTCTGCAGGCAATTGTATTATCCCTATCAGTCTGTGCTGCTCTTTCCAGCCACTCATTAATTTTAAGTTTGAAAAAGCTCCATGAAGGACCACAGAATGGTTGTAATCCAATATAATATGAGGCCGCCCCTTTTCTAGCTAGTTCATCTGCTTTTTTGTTTTCGCTGTGCTCTGGAATCCATATTAAATGAACCCTGTTCTTTTCAGCAAGATCTTTGAAAAGTAGAAAGCATTCCCACACTCGTTTTGAGGTTACTCGAGGTGAGCTAATGCTAAGAGTGCTGATTTACTCTCAGAGAAAATATATATGTTTCTCTTTTTAAATGACGGGTTTCCCTTTTGCGTGTACTTCGGCCCAAAAAACTGAGTTTTCCTCAGTTTCTATTTTCTCTTTCGAATTTGTTGGTTTACTCTTGACTAGAGTACATACGGCAATTAATGTCGTACCATACTACAATAAGAAAAGTGCAACAATCAAGGTGCTCCCGGAACGATTAGTACAGATGGTAACACGATTCAATTGATTTGCCGAAACCCTATACTTATTGAAAGTTTAAAGAAACTGATTTTGATGAATAATACAAAATATTTCAATCACTTCAAATGTACAAGGAGCAAGCAAAATATTTATTAAGTCTCTAGTAATTTCATCAAGCAAAAGAGAATCTATTTTATTTAAATTTGAAGAATAGCGTAAGGCTAATTAAAAGTTATAATGTATATATAATAATAACATATATGTAGTAAATTACATCCTTGTATGGTTTTGCAATTTTTTTAAAGAAATCTTTTTTTTTAATTTTTAAAGTCATTATTATGAAAGAAAATTTTCATTATAATAACAGGGTTTGAGGCTATAGCTCAGAGAAATTTCAATACACTATCATATTTTTTATTGAGATATTGTCAGCAGCTATTAAAATTTATTTTCGAATATATTCAAAGACCGTTGATGCTGAGTACTTGGCAGTACTCGAAATAACCGTTTGGTCAACCAAAGTAATCTCTTTTTGTGTTCATATTTATAACTTAATAATAGATAGTCTGTCTTCATATTTTTAAAGTATAATGTTTGTTTGAATTGAACTTCTTAACTAAAGAAATCGGCTCAGTTATATTTATAATATATTGATATATATATATAATATTTATATTGTGATATATTAAAATTGTCGACTAACATTTCTGTGCGATTGTGTTCAATACGATTATGAATAAACTAAGACCTTTCCAAGTGTTTAAGTGAAGTTGCAGTTAAAGTGCAAGTTGTTTTTTATAAACATTAAGAAATATTTTAAAAAGTTTAAAACAAAAATTTTAAAAATATAAAATTCATGCCAAAAAACGTATAAAAATTGTGCGCTTAAAGCAAAAAGCAGTGGAAAATATTAAAAGAGAAACCGAATCCAAACAAAACTGAACAGTAAATTAAATTACGAAGTTTTCGATCTAATCGTAAAAACTTTTATACAAACAATTAATAATTAATAATATATATATTTTTTTTTTAAATTAAGGAAGCAAATTATAGACCAAATCCAACCTTTTCTGCGGTGGTGTTGAAACTGGCTCCAGATTGTTGCTGGAATGGTTTCTTTACAGTGAAAAATCATGTTGGTTTTCGTTTTTGATTGACAAACAAAAAATTTACACAGAAAGAAAAAAGAAAAAATATGAGTCAAATTTGATAATATAAATTTATTATATAAAACTTTTTAATTTTTTTTTTATTTGTATTACGTATAACTTAAATAAATTTATTAGTGGAACACTGAAAACACAGTTAGTAATGCAAAAATTACATTAATTAATCGTCAAAAAGAATTTTTGAGCACTTTTAATAAAACATATATCTCCAAAATATTATATTATTATAATAAACAATATATTGTATTATTAATAGTACAAAATGGTTTTATTTTTATAACAACAATAATTATTTTTTATATAAAATTTTTTATTTTATTTCAAAGCGTTCAGTTTCTTATAGTTTGAATATAATTTAATATATTTTTATTTAATAAAAAATTAAATATTTATAAGTATTTAATAATGAACAAAATGACATGAATTATATTAGCACATAATGTATATAAAAATATTACAATAAAACATAAAAACATTTAAAACAAATGCACAAGAGGAAAATATTTGAAAATATTTGAAAACAAGCTATTTTTTTTTTGAGATTTTTGGATTGTGGAGGAAAAATACTCTGTAGGAATACTTGACTAGATTTTGGAAGATATATAGCACAAATCAACTTACTTGGCATTTTTAGGCCGTTTCGCATCAATGGGAAAATCATCATCGAAATCCAAATTGAAATCTTCGCCTAAGTCACGCGGTACAAGTGGAGTTCTTTGATGTGCGGGGCTGGTGTGGTATCCATCGGCGTGAAGCTGCATATATTCCAGCATTTGTTTATTTTTTAATAACAATTATATAAATCATTGTTTTTTTTTTAATGAAATTTATATTTTTTGGTATTTTTTGAAATTATTTTGTGGGAGAGAAGAAGAATTTAACATAAAAATTGATTAGTTAAAGTTATTTTGTGATGCTGGAATTTTGTTTAAAATTCAATGAATTCATCAAACAACATTAATTTAAATATTTATAAATAAATTGGAATTGAAAGCGTGCTCTAATTTAAATTACATAAGCTGGTATATGATACATAATAATTTATATATATTTTAGTTATATGTATTTGCAATGATTAATTAAATATGTGAGGGGTCCCCTTATGGAGTTACGAAAAATTTTTAGTTTGCTAAATATATCAAAGAATTTGTTATATATCTTAGATTATATAATAATCGTTCAAAATTTTTGACATAAAAGTATAAAAAAATAACTAAGCACAAATATTAACTTTATACGTTTTCATTGACTACAGTAGGTTAGTTAAATTTACAGCATATCACTTTTATAAGCATATTCTAAAAGAAGAAAAAAAGCAGTCAACGCAGAAGAAGATGAGTCCCAACTATAATAACTATAAGGAAAGACGTTAGTAACCTTGGAATATAGTATTTTAGAAAATTAAAACAAAGTCTCAAATATTAGGTTAAACTTAAACCATTGCTTCATTAGAAATAGAGAGTTAGAAAACGAAAACTAAATCCTTCTATCCTTCTAATCCTTTTAATACTCGTATTACAGATCTTTGACTCGAACTCTCGATAAGTGAAAGAAGAAAATGCTGGCGATTTAAGTTTAGATCAGATCATTATATTAATAAAAGTAAAAGAATTAGATTCCGAAAACAAATTCTTATTAATCTTTAACTATTAAAAATCACCTTTCAAAGTGCATTGAAGACCTTCGACGGAATGCCTTGATAAGTAGAAGCAAAAACTATAGGATATCAATATTTAACTAAGATCATTACATCAACAGAAGTGGAAGAATAAGAAACAAAAAATCAATCTTGATTTACATATAATCATTTTTTCTCTTTTTCCTTTTATTTACTTCATTCCGAGTTTTAAAAATGTAACATGATATTTCGGATATAGATGGCAACGACACAAGGAGATCAATGTTCGACTAAGATCATTATATTAATAGAATAAGAACAATAAGAAACGTAAACTTAGTCCTTTATATATGTACTCAACTTCTTTAATCTTTTCATTTTCCATATTTTATTCAAGATTCTATAGATGCAATAGAAAAAACATAAGAAAAATAAAGAGGTATTTAAGATTTTTATGATTCCTAACATAGAATCAAAGAATCCAAAAAAAAACCCTCAAAAAAACTCCAGTGGACAGGGATTATTCTTCTTTTGACAAATGTTGAAATAGGAAATGGAAACTTTAAAAGCATTCCCCGAATAATACATTGAAGACGATTAATTGAGACTGTTGCGAATAGTATTAGAAATCTTAGAAAACTTCGTTGAGGTTCCTGTGTTTAGGTAGAAACGTCGGATCAATAGATATCAATAGATAGATTTTTCTAGTTCTTTGCTCATGAAAGAGCAGAGTAAATTATTATAAATGAAAATTATTAAAAAATGAAAATAAAATTTAATCTGTTTTCCGATAATAAGACTTCTTGTGACAAGCTTGGCTAAACTCATTAAACAAATCCCTTTGTGAAATCTGAGAATGTTTTCGAAAACTTACATTTCAATATTTGAAGCATTCAATGCAGAAAGGGGACATGTATCAATTATATTCCATTTTTTTTAGTGTGGCCACGCAATATAGTTTTATTTGATTAAAATTTGTATATAATTTCAGTGGTATTGAGATATACAATTATAGAAAAAGTAATTTTATAATTATTAAAATACAATATTAACCAGTTTCGCTTCACTTTTTTCCTGACCTTATGTCGGAAATTTTAACATGTACCCTTTCTGCATTAGTCGATTCATATTATATTGTTAAAGGACTAGAAAAATTGATTGTTCTATTAGTAAATGTTATTATGTAGTAGATTTAAATACTATTCCCTATAATTGATTAAAAAATTTTTTATAAATATTTTAAAATTAATTAATATTAAAAATTCTAAATTATCATGCAAAATATAAAAAAATTATTTAATCTAAATTTTATTATTCGTATTTTGATTAATTATATTTTTAAGTGTTCTTATTTTTGTGAATGGCACTGTATTTCATTTAAAGAAGTATTTATATAATTGAGGAAATGAATGATGTGTTGGAAAATAATTCACAGTTTAACTTTTAAATCGTTGTATTTAATTGAATGTAATATTTAAAAAATGAAATAAATAAATAATTAAAGATGAATCAGATTTCAATTCCAATTTATTTACATAAACAACAAAAATATGTTAAACTGAAGTAAAATTCAAATTTTGTATGTGATATATAATTTTTACACTGAAATGTTGTAGTGAGATGAATTTGTATTTATATATTATTTATAATAATTTACATTTGTATATATATATAATACATATTTGATAAAAGGCAAAGTAAAGGGCAATCAATACTCGTGCAAGGATATTGTATTTATTTCATCATCAAAAACATATGAAAACCATTTGAACGAAATTATTGGAAAAATGCTAAAAGTAAAAGTAAATATACATTTTATTATATTGGCCATAAGAAAAATTTGTTAAAAAAAATATTGGTTCAAAATATTAAATATGAGTAAGTTGATTAATCAATATTTTATGGTACATAATAGGTATTTGTTTATCCTTTGTACGAGTACGGAGTTCAGCCCCTACCTTTACTATTGTGCCGACCTGATTTGATTCAGCCGATTGACGATTGTCGAGTAAATTTGCGCGCTCCATTTGCTCTAAAGGTACTGATTCTCGCTGCTGATCGTTATTGAGTAAACGTTCTCGCATCTCATGAATGTAGGGGCAACGCTGCATGCCTCGTACTTAAATATTAGTCCTGCCCACCTTTAATCCTACACCTTCTAAATTCTGATGATTGGTTATAATTTTTACTTATTATGAAAATGCACTTTAGGTGAAATAGAAAATGCAATATTTTTTATCAAAAAGTTATTTTTATCTGCTTAAGAGTTTACTTTAGTGTCTAAAGAATGTATATTTTTAATAATTTATAAAGTTTTCTAGCTATATATTTTAATCAGAAAAATCAGTCATTAAGTTGCAGGAGTTTTCAATTTGATTAGTACAGCAGTTGATTATTTGGTCGATCTAAAAGAGAACAAAACCAGAATTTTCATTAGAGAATATAAAATTTTAAATACTTTATTTCTAAGTAAATATTTTATATATAAATAAGTAGAAATAAACTATATGTACTATATTTTAAATTATATTTGTATTAAACGTATACAAAGATATCATAGCCTCTGTGAACAGAATGAGGAGTCGGCCACACATGTGCTGTTAGAATGCCCTGCGCTAATGCACATACAAAATGGGCTCCTAGGAATGTATATTCTTACGGAAGAGGCAATAAAACTCTGTAAAGTAGGTTCTATACTACTTTTTATTGACGGCAAAGGGCTTAAAGACCTACCCTAAGCCCAGAAGGGGGCACAATATATCCGACAGTCGCAGTGCTACATCCCCTAACAATAATAATAATAATACAAAGATATCACATATTTAAATAATATTTTAATAATAATAAATTGTAAGAATGATTGCAGTAAAATCAATGAATATTTTGGTATGCACAAAAAAAAACATAATATAACTCAGTGTGCCATAATATAATTGAATTAGTTCCATCTTAATGTATGATTATAGAATATTATATTAATTAATAAATGTTCACAATAACCAATAATACATGTGAAATAACAAGCTATTTCACAGTTAGCAATTTGTATCCGTAATTAATTAATTATTAATAAATGTTTGTGAAATATTATACTAAGAGTGCATTTGGAAAGGGAGTTACATGAAAAACTTCATATAATTTTAACCAATCGTTTAATGAATATATTTTATTATTCAAGAAAATAGTACCATCAGTAACGTTCACCATCAATTTATAAAAACTAAGACAAGATGGATAGATATTACAAATATCAGAGGAACCGTGTACAATTAAATGTCAAAAAGTGAGTATATGTGATGAAACATAGAAGTTTTAAGACAAGAACTTTAGATAGAAACTAAAGCCAGACTTCATATTGTATTAAAGTATAAAAAAAACTATTTAGTTAACATACTTCACATTTAATATGTGCTTATTCAATTTAGATACTCTTAAGATGTAGATGAATAGGTTTAGTTTTATATAGAAAATAGGTATATATAGAAAATATAGAAAATGTATATAGAAAATATATATGGAAAATTATATAGAAATTATATAGAAAATCAATGCGGATTAAAAGTGGATATCATTATATATTGCATATTAATGCATATTACATTTTTGTGATGATTTCTCTTAATATCATATTCTTAATATCATATAAACTATTATAAATAATAGGCTATGAATGCACCCCGGCCAAAAAGATCTATTGTGCCTTTAAATGCTCAACTATATAAACTAGAAAGACTTTAAAAATATTCTTAATCCGAAATGTTCTGACTTACTTATACTCCTAATATTAAATGGTTTTACTTTAATATAATGTAAGAACCTGACAACATTGAAAGAGAGAGGCAATAGATTCGTTAAGGATAGAAAAACTAAAAGAAAATCATAATCCCAGATTTGAATAACATCCTGTGTAAAGTTTTTATTTCTTTTAATATTTATAATTGTTTTATTTTTTATTTTAATATTTTAATTGTTGAAATTGAATTATTTATACGAGTGCTGTCTTTTAAGTCTTGCGCGAAACAATAAAAACACTGTGGATAATCGGTGAAAATGGTTTTATTGTTTTTCAAAGTATTGTCCATAATGATCAATATATTTTTGCATTCCATTGAATAAATTTTTGAAACCGTTTTGCCATTCTGATGTTGGTATGTCCAAAACCAGAGTTTTGAATGTCTTAACGACCTCGTCGAGCGTACAAAATTGCTTGCCACGCAATTTTTTCTTAATGTTTACTTCCCAAACAAAAGATCTTAGGTATCAAGTCAAGATTGTACGATATATGAGCTATCAATTCGACGCTTTGAATGCTAAAGAACTCTTTAGTTTGAGCCGATATGTGGGAGCTCGCATTATCCTGATGAATGATAATATTCGTTTGATAGCTGGTTGCCCTCAATATTCCTAACACTTCAAGTAAACAAACGGTTCTATACTACTCAAAATTGACCATTCTACGTTGTTTAAGTGATACAGTTGCAACATGACCAGTTTTTCTGAAAAACATGGGGCCATTTTCTGGCATTTGCTCCATCCGTGAGCAAATACCACGAGTTCTACTTATTTTTAAAGACCCAAACAGTGGATTGCTGTTTCCTTTTCTGGCGCAAAGGCGTAGATCCATGGATTTTCTGAATTATTTAATCAATACAATTTAAGTAAAAAATAAAAATCAATCAACCAATTGCGATTTTCACTTCACGAAACAATCAATAAAAGAAAAATCCTAGCCGACACCTTTAATGGTTCTATAATACGTTTCGCAGAAGGAGTGAAGCGCACTGCTCCGCTTGCAGTTAGTGCGTCTTTTACATTATTATTTCCCTAGAGGTAAGCAATTTTTACTCACTATGCTGGAAGCGCTTGTTTTTTTAACCATTATAGTAGAGTATCATAACGCTGCAATAAAGCAGACTGTCAAGGAGAAATATGTACTTAATTAGTGCATAATGGGTAGCTAATCCAATAGTTTTCTTGCGACAATATTATAAATTTCTGTAGAAAGTCTCTGTATGACTATTTTTAATATTTAGAAAAATAATTGTATCAAAATTAATATAACCTAAAATAATTCTACAAAGAGTAGCAAAATTATATTTTTTTTTATATATTTTTTTTATAAAAAAGATTAGAATATATTGAAGACCTGACGTAAAACAGTGTTAATGATTAGTGATTAATTAATGGTATAAATTACATTAAATAGTTAGAACAACGTTTGATAAGTGATAAAGTTCACTACTGCTTTATGATAAGAATCAACTTTTAATCAGATAGCAAGAATATTTTATCAAAAAGTAACCATTTATAAAATTTGATTGAATAGTTTAGAATAGTATTTCACAACCCTTTTCGTTTTTTTTGCACTCTAGAATCTTCGTAGTCCTATAGCTACCCTAATGGTTATCTGAAATCACTGCTCGACATACATGCCGAGTAAAAAACGTATTATACCCAGTTATCAATTCAGAATTATAGCTTAAATTTGACTATAACATAATTAACCCAGCATAGTTAACAAAATACTTTTCCATTACTATATAAGCTATATCTTAAGCTGGTTGCTTATTGGGCTGGTTGCTTAGTATTGTTTATACTTCTGGCTATTGCTATTGCTCGTTCTCGTTATATATATTCTTTAATAAGGTTTATTGGCATAATTTTTTTTCCCAATCATTTTTCTTACTACCAAGCTGTAATGTCAGCTTAAGAATTCACATATATTTTTTTCGGATTTTAAATTTTTTTGCTATAACCTCACATTTGTATTAAAAGTAAATTTCATGTCATTGGACATTATATTATTCAATAATAATTTTTTTAAAGGGTTACTTAGCCGAGTTTGAGGTACTTTAAATGTCTGCAGTACTACCATTGCTTGATTAAATTTGATTTCAAGTGCTGGTCATATGATGGCTGAGTTTTTAATAATTTCGTATATGAGAACTTAGTGTTGCTAGTAACTTCATTAATGATTTAAATTATATTAACTAGTTTGTTTAATACTTGATAAAAATCTAAATAAATTTATTTTTAAATAAATCGAAATTGTATTTTATTTAAAATACCAAAAATAGTTTTGTATACCCTCACATATGAATACTTATATATAATACTTCATGAAACTGAAATACTTTTAGTCATTAGTAGACCACAGTATAAACCGCAATAATGACATGTGATGAATAAAATAGAATTCGCAAATAGTAAATATATTTAGATAAAATATTAAATAAAATAAAATTAACTTAAATAAAAATAATAAAAAAAACAATTAAAACTAATTTACCGGTTTTGTTTAGCCGTATTCATCACGTTGAACGACTGGTAAATTCGTTTACATCTATACCATAGATGAGCTCATGATGAGATGAGAAACTAATGATGTATTAGATACAAATAATTCCACTTAACAAAATTCGTTGCTATAAAATGTTAGAATAATTGTTCTAAACAATTTTTCGTTCTCGTCTGCGAAGTAGCAATGCCAAACACAAACAAAATTAATTACCTATAATTAACTATATCTGTGATACTTACAGAGTTCAACGTACCCAGTGCTTACTGTAACGGAATATTATTTTCATTATGCAAAAGATACTCAACTTCCAACTTCAGACAAAAGAGATTAAAAATCACAATGCATTGCACAAAAAACGAAATAAAAATTCTGAAAACTAAAGCTAAACAACAAATAAACTCAGTCAGTAGAACAAAATAAAAGAGGCTAAAAGATACTTTGACAATAGGAAACATTATTTGCAACTACTTTTACATAAAAGTAAAAATAAAACAAAATTAAGTACTTAAATGTGTGCACCAAAGTGGAACGTAAATATCATCTATAAAATACACGAGTACGAGAGGAAATAAAAAAATTAAATAAACCCAAAATGCAATTTCAATGCATTTTCGGTTAAATTATATTTTTAAATATTCCAAATTATTTCAAATGCAATTTAGTTCCTCAAACCTCATTACCAATGGAAATCGGTGATTAATTTTAGAAAGATTTATCGAATTTAGAAACGTTGAATCTCGATGAGATAATCATGTTAAAATACATCTCAATGATACTCGCACCATAATGACTTAACATATATATTATATATAAATATTATTTTTTTGTATTTTTTATTTTAGGCTCAAAACTCTATCGAGAAAAATTTTTACTTAAACTGAGCAGACCTGCACTTGCTATGGTTTGGGCTAAGTGCTTTTTTCCTTGCATTGACACAATTTTTCAGTACTTAAGCCACTTCGACTCTTGCAACTGATAACAGTTGTGCTCCTTTCATGTGTGTTAAACTTAATGTCATTTTAATTGTCATTGACACCAATGTGCTCATAATTTATAGCACCACTTAACTAAAGTATCTTCTATCTGAGTACTACGTTCTTCTTT